AACCATGTTACCAAGAGTCCTATTTGTGACCTCTGTTTGTCCATCAGTTTGGGGATGTGCAGTAGTACTTCGATTCAAAGTAGTCCCAAACATTCTCCATAATGTAATCCAGAAATGACTCAAGAACTTGGTGTCTCGATCAGAAGTGATGGACTTAGGTACCCCATGCAATCGAACAACCTCCCTGAAAAACAGTTTGGCTATGTTTGATGCATCAGCGGTTTTTCTGCAAGCAATGAAATGAGCCATCTTGGAGAACCTGTCAACCACCACAAAAACTGAATCCATTCCCCTTGGTGTTCGGGGTAGTCCAAGCGCAAAATCCATAGCAATGTCCTCCCAAATATCGTTAGGAACAGGTAAAGGCATGTAAAGACCCGTATTTTGGACTTGCCCCTTTGAAACCTGACAAGTGTAACACTTCCTCACAATGGCTCCAACATCCCGTTTCAATTGTGGCCAAAAGTACCTTTCTTCCAAACTTGCTATCATCTTGTCACGACCAAGATGATTGCTTAATCCTCCTCCATGCAAATCTCGAATAAGCTTTTCCCGCAAGGAAGAGATAGGAACACATAATTGGTTACCTTTGAACAGAAAACCTTCGTTGATAGAGTAATCTGCCATAGGTTCATGATTGATGCATTTCCTCCATATTTCTTGAAAATCATCATCGGTTGTATACAACTCCTTTAAGCACTCGAAACCCACAACTTCTTGGGAAAGAGTGATTAGCAATGATGCTCGTCTACTCAAGGCATCGGCAACACAGTTTTGAGCTCCAGATTTGTGCTTGATAACAAATGGAAATTTTTGCAAGAACGTTACCCATCTGATATGCATTTTATTAACATGCTTCTGATTGTTAATAAACTTCAAGGCTTGATGATCCGTGAATAACACAAATTCTTTCTGAATGAGATAGTGTTCCCATTGTTTTTAAAGCTCGAATCACCGCATAAAACTCCTGATCATAAGTGCTCCATTTTTTACGGGCTTCACTTAGCTTTTCAGAGAAAAAAGCTATAGGTCTCTTCTCTTGGGAAAGGACAGCACCCACTCCCACTCCACTTGCATCACATTCGACTTCGAATACTTTCTCAAAATTTGGAAGAGCTAACACCGGAGCAGTACAAAGCTTCTCTTTGATCAAAACAAAGCTTTGTTCTTGTTCATCTCCCCAACGGAACTTGCCTTTCTTCAAACATTCTGTAATGGGTGCGGTGATGGTGCTGAAATGCCGCACAAATCTCCGATAAAAAGTAGCCAAGCCATGGAAACTCCTCACGTCGGAGACGGACTTCGGAGTTGGCCATTCTCGGATGGCCTTGGTCTTCTCATCATCCACTTGAATACCATTTTCACCAACCAAAAATCCTAGAAATAGCAATTTACTTGTACAAAATATGCATTTCTTGAGATTCATATACAATTTATTTTCTTTCAAAACACCCAAAACGTGTCTCAAATGCATCATGTTCTTCTCTGGTCTTGCTATAGATTAAGATGTCATCAAAGTAAACCACAACAAAGAGACCAATAAAGGGACGAAGAACCTGATTCATAAGCCTCATGAAGGTACTCGGTGCATTAGACAATCCAAATGGCATCACTAGCCACTCGAACAGTCCATCCTTACTCTTGAACGCCGTTTTCCACTCATCTTCAGGCCTGATTCGAATTTGATGGTAGCCACTGCGAAGGTCAATTTTTGAAAATAATTTCGAACCTTCAAGCACATCTAGCATGTCATCTAACCGAGGTATTGGAAATCTGTATTTGATGGTGATTCGGTTAATAGCTCGGCTGTCTACACATATACGCCATGCCTTTTTCTTTTCCTTATCTTTCTTTGGAACCAATAGGGCAGGTACTGCACAAGGGCTCATACTTTCTCAGATAAACCCCTTTCGCAGCAAGTCTTCAATTTGTTCCCTCAAAATCTCATTTTCTGCAAGGCTCATTCGATAATGGGGAATATTTGGTAGGCTAGCTCCAGGTACCAAATCAATTTGATGTTGGATGTTCCTCATGGGAGGAAGCTCGTTAGGTAACTTGTCAGAAATGAGTTCATGAAATTCCTCCAATAATTGCTGCACTTCTGAAGAGATTTGTTCATCTTCTTTGTTTTCTGTCAATAGTCCCTTCATCACGATCGGAAAGAAAGAATCTGCTTCTTTTATGGCCCCTTCAATCTCCTGCTTATCACTAATTAGAGTGAGGAAACTAGTATTCTTTGCTTTTGGTACTTCAGAGGGCGAAACATGAGCCATCGCAATCTTCCGATTATTCCAAGTAAATAACACCACATTATCTCGACCCTTCAATGTCGAATCCACATCAAACTGCCACGGTCTCCCTAATAGTATATGACAAGCATCCATATCAATAACATCGCAAAGTACTTCATCACAGTAATGCTTACCAATGGAAAGTGGGACACGACAAGTTTCTGTGACATAGACGGAAGGTCCTTTCTTCACCCATCCAAGTGAGTATGGGGTGACATGAGTCTCCGTTGGTAGCTGTAAACGCTCCACCACTTTCTTGGCCACAAAATTTTCACAACTTCCATTGTCTACAATCACTTCGCAAACTTTGCTGTTGATGGAGCAAAGAGAACGAAAAATGCAGTGTCGTTGCCCATCCTCTTTTGGTGTTAAAAGAACTCGCTGCAACACCAAAGCGAGACGATCCATTCCTTCTTCAGTTGCGAATTCAACGCCTTCATAGTCATCATCACCAACTTCTTCTTGGTCCCCTTCAGCCTCCAACAAATTGGCTTGTCTCCGTTCAGGACAAACGTTAGATCGATGCCCGATTTTGTTGCAACGACAACAAATGTCTCCCATAGGCTTGGCGTACGGATTCTCCCTTGGAGGTTGGTTTCTATTCTGCCCATTGTTAAAAGTTCTGCTACTCCCTTCATTTGCTGCTCGAGAAGAAAAACTTGAAGGTTTCAATTCTCCCGAACTTTGTGGCATAGATTTCCCTTTGTCGGTGGACGAGACAACAGGGTTTTCAAAATGCTCCGTCACGTTCCTCCGGAAAGAGGTTTGTCGCCTTTCTTTCTCTATTATCTCCGCCTTTAAGGCCATGTTAATGGCCTCTTGCAAACTCCACAGATTTTGCAGCCCAATCTTTTCTTGAATGGAGGGTTTCAATCCATTCACGAACCTTGCAACCCTTTGATTTTCTGTCTCCATCAGATTGTTTCGCTCCGCAAGTCTCATGAAATCATCCGTATAATCAGTCACGTTTCTGTTGCCTTGGACGCAGCTGATGTACATACGATACAAAAGCTGTTCATAATCCGCAGGTAAGAAACGATCCATCAAGAGTTGCTTCATTTTTCTCCAAGTGCGGATTCGATTCTTTCCTTGCCTCTGCCGAGTATTTTGTAATTGATCCCACCAAACAGCGGCAGTTGCTTTGAGACGGAAGGCCACCATCTTCACCATCTTTGTCTCGGGAACCTCCATGACATCAAAGAATCTTTCTACTTCAACTAGCCAATCCAGGAAATCTTCGATTTTAAGGTTTCTTGCAAAAGTTGGAATGTCGGCCTTAATCCGAAAGTCATCAAAGTTGTTGCGGTTTTGATGGTTTGGATTGTTAGCTGCATGTGGTTCCACATCTTCTTCTTCGGACTCCGATTCGCTGTCTTGAACACGGAGCCTAGGAACTCGTAGATTATTGACTCTAGCAGCTCTATGATTATTTGGACCGATGGCTTGGACCAACATCTCACGAAGTTCTCCAATTTGAGTAGTCAAGTTTGTAACGCAGCACGAAGCAATGAAAGGGTTACCAGCGTAATCCCTTGTAGAACAAAGTTTACTGGAGTCCACCAGTTGATAGAAATCCCAAAGGATAATTTGATTAATTGATAAAAAGATGTCCAAATGATTACAAAGCCATGGCTTTAAATAAGCCTTTTACAACCTTTTTGGAAACTCAAAAGACTTAGGGAATTAAAATGAAAATAACTGACATATAATAAAGCCCTTGAAACCCAAAAGACTCTATTTATTAGTAGACTGATGTTTCGATGACTTTCTGCAAAAGATGGCTCGAGTCACCTTTGTGGGAGAATTATTTTAACACGTTTCTGCGAAAAGTGGCTCAAGCCACTTTTATGGGAAATTAATACCCCTTTTATGATTGCGCCCTTTTGTCTTCCGACGTTCCATCTCCTCCTCGATCCATTCCGCCATTTGTTCTACATCAGATTAGGGGACTGGAAATTTGTTATTTGGGGACTGCATTCATTCATTCCATCTTCCTAAATTTGGTTCATATCTTCTGACTGCATTCATTCTTGATCCCAAACCGAAAAACTGAAACAATTTCGGGAATCCCGAAATTCGGAAAAACTGAAATTTTGGTTCGGTTTTGGGTTTTACAATCCTATCGCGAAGAGAGTCGGTTTGGGATTCAGGCTTTGAGTTTTGGTTCGGAATCCCAACCTCAAACCAACCCTAATTATCTTAATTTATTTTTATGAACATTTTAATCTAAAATTATTTAAATTATAATAAATAATGAAAAATCACACAAATACAAATACATAGGTATTGAGTGAAATTTGATTTAAATAATCTTTTTAAAATTATCTAGATGTTAGATTTAATTTTGGGCCTCTGATCCTTTTTTATACTTTTAGATTTGATCTTATTTGAATACAACCGTTGAATTATAAGTAAAAAATAAAAAAGAAATGTTTGAAATATGACAGTTTGATGGGTTCAAAATGATTTAAGTAGAATCTAGCCCAAAGTTCTATTTTCTCTCCGAGGCTTATTTTAGACCAATAATTGGAGACGGTTTAAGGGGATTTAAAGTTTAAATTGTAAGGTTGTCCAACTCATTAGAGATGAATTAAGCGTACATAAATATCGTTTGTTCATAAAAAAAAATTGTAAGGGCCTCTTTGGTTAGCCAGATAAGATTGGGTGATAAGAATATGATTGAATTAGCAATGACTTGTAACTCATGTACGAGGGTAAGTTAGATGACTCACTTTATTGCTGATTCATAACATATCATATCGAATCCTGCTTATTTCTCATTTTGACACAACGGATTGAACTCGATCCATTTTAATTGATCACAACCTATCTCATTCAGCTCACCGCCCACCAAATAGGACCCTAGGCTATTTCCCATTGCCCACTCTGCACTTGATTTCCCAAACCAGACTCCCGCAGCCTATTTGCCATTGTAAGTCTTTCCCCGAGTGACGGAGGCTTGGACTGTTTCTTCTTCTTGCTGGAGATCTGGGAGATCGGTGAATAGGGAGGCACGAGTTCGCCAACGTGAGAGAGAAGGAATGGCGCGTTTGGCTTCTTGTTAACGATCCAGAGAGGATCCAAGTCCCACATCTAACCCGTGTCACATATTCATCCACTACAAATTTTGGGCTGTTACTAACAAATAATATCGTTTGTTAAAAAAAAAAAATGTAAACTCTCTTAAAGAGAGAAAAGCAATGATTATCTGACTCCTGGTTTTTCTTCAGGATAATTTGTTTAAGCGAACACTTGTATTAATTTTACATCTAATGTAAAATTTATATGAACAGGAAAGTTTTGAAGCATACTGGATCACTTCTTCCGAGCCACAGCCGCTGCAATTCCACCAGCAAGCAGTCCAACAGCAGTCGCTGCAATTCCTATGCCAATCGCACCATCTGCATTCAAAGAAGGGAGAGTATTGACAGTTTCAGTTTCATTTTCAGAGAGTGAGAGAGGAAAGAGAGAGAGAAATGATTGATTTCTACCTCTTTTGATCCGGGCTTCGTTCATTTTCTTAAGGTTCAGTGCCTGTCTCCAATCAGGTGCAATCTACAAAAGAACCATATCATGGAAAATCTAGTGCAGACCATACGAGCACATTCGAGGATAAGATATGAAGAAAAAACTAACACTTCCTTAAGCATAAGTACTGGCGTCAAGATAATTAATGCAATCTGGACTGCTATATAGAAAGAGACAGTAAACAGAAGATCATAACTGAGTGTTTTCCACGATAAGAGACATGCAGAGCAAGTAGTTTCAAAGTACATAATCAAATCTAAACAAAATCATACCATCAAACTCTGTTCCACAAGTTCCCTGCACCTGGTATGGTCACCACTTCTGTAATACCCAACAGCAAGAAGATATAGTGGCTCTCTCACTTCCAGTGGGTCTTTAGTTGGATCCCTCATAACCTCTGCAATATATCAAGTCAGAAAAATAATAAGTAACAAAAAGCAATAAATTGAACAGCACAAAGGAGGTTGCAGTGTTAAGTGCTTAGGAAAAGACACCATATGGTCCAAAGAGTCACGGTAAGCACATTGGCATATCTAAAAAGACCTAAGGAAGAAAGTGTTTGTGTATGTATTGTACGTTAGTGGGAGTGAGGGCGTATAGGGGTGTGTGTGTGTGTGTGAGAGAGAGAGAGAGAGAGAGAGAGAGAGAGAGAGCCTTCAAGCATTGCTATGCCACGTTGCACATCTTCTGGATTCCTTGAATGAACAAGAGCCCATGATAATCGCATGAGACATTCCTTGAAAACGTGATCAGGGGAACCATTCTGAGCATCAGCAACCTCTTTTTCAATACCCTGTCATAGCATCCATTCAAAAACATAAATCACATGCAAACATCTGCTAAGTACGGTATGCAGCATGACCATTCCTGCCATCTCATCAACTCATCGACATTATAAACAAATCATTTTCCTTTCTAGGATGTTTCTTAGTCATTTATTTACTTCCCCATCTGACCGGATTAGGACTCTATTAAGAACCATCCAATACTCAACCTTTAATATCGTAAAATTCCACTATGATTTTAAATCCTGATGTTTCTGTTGGCTGCTCTACCATTGGTAAGGTGGAAGCCATCTACACCGGTAACTTCACTCATCTAATAGTATGCAACCACTCAGCACTATCCTAGTATATAATACCAACTTCAACCCTAGACATGGGATTTGGCTCATACCGCTCGTTAAGGACCAGTCACTACTCTTCAATGGCTAGAGGAGTCATGGAGCGGTAGAAGTAGTTACTTAAGCATTAAAATTGTAACAACATTCAGATGCTTACAGTAATCGTCGCACTTCAGACATAAAGAAAGGCTTTGCTGTTATTAGTAGTAAAGTAATTTGAAGCTATCATGTACGACAAGTTGTACACTTGTACTACACCTGCAAAAGATAGCGTTTTCTGTAGAAGCTGTTTGGACCCTAAATTGCTCACTATTAGGCAAGGTTCTAAAAGATGCTAGGCGCTAGTCAGACGGTGGGCTGGGGCCTAGCGCCTGGGTGGCTGGGCGAGGCCTAGGCCTTCCTAGGCCGATTTAAATAAATTTATTATATGTCACATAAAATAAGTACCCATTTATATTTAAAAAAAAAATATAATTGTATTGAGATGCTAAATCTCAAAATAAAATGACATAGAGATTAAAGTACTATAACATATTGAAAATATGGAGAAAAAGCATATAATGAGTGTTCATCAAAGTATTGAGATGCTAAGTGAGAGTCGCGACCAAAGCGGGTCTAGGTGGGCGCCATGTGGGCTAGGCAGGCGACCAAGGAGAGCTCCTTTCTTGGTTTTCAAACGCCTAGACATTAATCGGAGCAGTGGCAAGCCGCCTAGCGCCTAGGCGGAGATTTTCAGAATAGTGCTGTTAGGCAAATCAGCAGCTGAAAGTTCCCTTCAAATGAATTTAACTCTAATAGATCTATCCCACAAAGATGCCAAACAGTAAGAGGGGATTTTGTAATATTAATAATATATTTATCTGATTTAATCCCCAACTGATTATTATTCTTCCACTCTTCAAATAATGCAAAGAAATAACCAAAGAATTGTATTAACAGAACTCCAAATCTTAATAGAAAAATAAATAAAAAATAACGACCCTGGCAAGCCACTGAGAGAAAACAAAATGATCGAATTCTGAAACCCTAAAGCTGCAATCCCATTTCAAATCACATGTATGCCAAAAATTAAACACCAAATATTAATACATATACAAAAATAGCAGGGAAAGTGCTTACAGCGATGAGGTCGCGGTCGCACCATGGGATCTGATCGCCACCGGAGAAGAAATTGCTAACCGAGTCGAAGAACTTCCCAACGTTATCCGCCATTCTCGTTTCGTCTGCGTTGTTGGGTTTTGGATTGAGGATCAGAAAGGCGACTTAAACACACAAAACAAGTCACAGTTGAGCTTTCCCTATTTTTCTTTAGCTTTCTTATTGGTAGGCACTCCTTTGAGTTTGATATATAGAGATATTTTATCTATTTAATTACTTCAGGGGCCAAGTCTTTTCTTTTTTCTTTTTTGTTTTTATTTTTATTTTTGTCAATAGAACTTTCATTATATTAAAAAGGGTAAATTACGTAGTAACTCCTCAAGTTTGAGGGTAAATTACAACTCCATACAACAACTTTAAAACATTTCACTTTCATACCTCACTTACTATTTTATTTCAAAATAACACATCCGTTAGATTTTCCATCCAATGGTCTGTTAAATGCTGACGTGGCTGCCACATTTGTGCTGATGTGGCTGCCACTTGGCAAAAATAATAATTTTTTATATATTAACAATATTATAATATTAACCATATTATTTTTTAAATAAAAAAAAAACCATAAAAACCCGAACCCAGATCCCCTTCCCCGCAACCCCACATCCTACCCCCACCCCTCACCCATCTCTTCATTCCCATCCGTCCGTCCCCTCCACCCCTCTATCCATCCCCTCCACCCCCCCATCCCCACCCCCACCTCCCCCGCAAGCCCCCCACCCCACCTCACTTTCTCCAAAGCCCTTTCTCCTCTTCACCTACACACAGAGCTGTCAGTATTGCACTTTTACCACCTACAGAGACAATTTTCAAACCCCCAATTTACCAAAAAAAACCATAAATTCAATCAATTTCACATATAATTCATAAACCCAATTCAAACAGATGCGCATTTGATAGAGAGAGAAAGTAGAGAAAGGAGAGAGAGGAAGAGAGAGAGAGAGGGAGGAGGGCTCCTGTGATGAAACTGACCCAGTCGCTGAGCACCATCGTGCTCCTGGGTGGAGAAGGCAGGTGGGTCGTTGTGCGTTGGGGATGGGGGAAGGCAGGTGGGTCGTTCTTTGTTTTGGCTTTTTGGAACTCTGATTTTTCTTAGCAAAATGGTGAAGACTAAGAAATTGAAGAAATGGTAGTGCAGCAAAAGCCCCAGTTGGTGATGGGATTCGAAGAGAGGGAAAATGATAAATGGGAGAGAGGCTCGGTGAGGGGAGGACGAAAGGAGACGTGGTTTTGGGCACACAACTGAATCCATCTCGTCGCAGCCTGCCATGGTGCTGTGCTTGTAAATGCACCTATTCTCATCTTTGCTTCGTTCTATTGGAGAGATTTCACCAACGAAGGTAGGTGGGTCATCGAGGGAAGGCAGGCGGTCGCCGGGGGGGGGGGGGTAGAGGGTTTTCAGTAGGTCGTCTGTAGGGTGGGGGGAAGGGATTTTGTAAATGTGAGTTGAGTTGAGTTGCAGAGGGGTGAGGGGGTGGGATGTAGGGAAGGGGAAGGGGATCTGGGTTCGGGTTTTTGTGGTTTTTTTTTTTAAATAATAGGGTTAATATTATAATATTGTTAATGTATAAAAAATTATTATTTTTGCCAAGTGGCAGCCACGTCAGCATTTAACAGACCATTGGATGGAAAATCTAACGGAGGTGTTATTTTGAAATAAAATAGTACGTGAGGTATGAAAGTGAAATGTTTTAAAGTTGTTGTATGGGGTTGTAATTTACCCTCAAACCTGAGGGGCTACTGTGTAATTTACCCTATTAAAAACTAGTACAAGGCTTAAAATGAATCTAATAAACAACAGTAGAAAAAGTAAAAGGCCCATGTAAAATGAGAGCTGCAATCCAAGATACAACGGGAGACCTTGACAAATTTAGGCTCGTAGGCTGTGATAACAAAAAACCAAAAAACCATAGTCTCAAGCAGCATAAACCAGACCGCCGCCGCCATCACATCCTCGGAGAAACCCAAACTCCGAACAGAGATAATAAACACCAGATTCAAGTTTCCTTTATGTACCCTACAAATATATACAAACAAAGTATCATTTCTAATTTGTCCCTTCAAATTCATCCTCCTCATTTTGGTCTTGAAATGTGAATTTAAAGTTTGATTAGACCTGGCATTCGTGTCGTGTTTCCTGTGTTCGTGTCGTTTTCGTGTCATATTCGATATCTTAACGGGTCGTGTCGTGTAACATCCGTTAAAAGAAATGGATAAAATGACCCGACCCAAAATCGACCCGATAATATTAATAGGTAATATGACCCGACCCGTTACCCGTTAAGGAAAATATATTTTAAACCAATAAATAATCAAATGAAAAACATAATACTAAATAAGTATGTACATACCATATTATCACATTCAAAACATAAAAACGTATTTGTCTTTCAAATATTACATATTTACATACCCAAAATAAGAGCATAATAAAAATAAAAAATAAACATTAGAACATTACAAAATATCAAATGTTCAAAAAATTTGCAAAATTAAGGGAGTTATGTTTCAAGGTTTGGAACCTTGCACATTTTCTTACAATCAAACTCTTCAATTTTCATCAATCACCATGGGAAAAGGTATTGGAATTTTGACTTGATATCTTGTCTTCAAGAGTTATATTGATGATATCTTCAATGAGGCTTTCTACATGAGCACTCTCTCCCCATTTATCCTATGCTAATGTAGAAGTGTGAAAAATATAGAAAAAATATATAAACGCTCGTAATGACAAGCTTTACAACTTTTATAAAGGGCTTAACTTTGAAATGTGTCACTATAATGATATAAATCATAGATCAAAATTTAACCGTCGATTGTTGTTTACATTTATGCTTCATTTTTCTCACCAAATTTTGTTTTTTCATATTTTATTTTTTGAACATAATCTATTAGAGGATACAAGAAGATGAACGGTTTGGATCGTTGATATTATGTTCAAAGTGTTACCGTTAGTGAAAATATTGCTTGGTGTTTATAAAGTATCTACAAACTATATAACATCAACTCATATTTTAATTAACCGTAAATATCGGGACGTGATATCAAAGATCTGAACCGTTCATCTTCCTACACCCTCTAGAAGATCATGTTTTGAAAAAAGAAAATTTTAAAAATGAAATTCAATATAAAGAATAAAGCTTAAACGACAATCGACGGTTAAATACAAATTTAAGGTTTATGGATTATTGTGTCGGATTTCGAAGTTGAACCCTTCACGAAAGTTGTAAAGCTTGTCACTACCAGTGATTGTATATATATATATATATATTTTTTTTTTTTTACATTTCTTACACTTCTGCAATAATTATTATTAATTTTACACTCAAATAAAAAACAGTATTCATGACGGTTTGGAGGGTTTTAAAAATCTAAACGATAATGTAAGTGTAACCATTATCTACTCATGGAGGAATGATGAATCACGAGTGTTTATATATTCTTTCATATTTTTCATAATTGTAGGGATGTCTTATTGCCTATACTAATACTATACTAGTTGATTTTAATTTTGGACAACAACATGTTAAGTAAAATTTATCCTATTAATAATAATAAGAAACTCTTATAATAAAAGTAAATAAATGAATATAACTTAATTTTTTTAACTTATATAAATATATATATTTAATATAGAATATACCAATATATACAATAGGGATATTGTACTGTTTGATTGAGCATATTTCTACCGTCCAATTTCTGTCAAAATTTTTATTACTATATTTTCCTAGCACATGTGTAGATCTGACTAATCCAATCATATTGGGCCACTAACCATAAAAATCATTTTAAAGAATTTATAAACTAATGATACAACTAAGTATATTATTAAAAGAATAATGCTAGGAATATGAAAATTTAAAACTAAATTTAAAAGGAAATTATTACTGGCGCTCTAAAATTCTCATTTGTCATTCCAATCATTCTATATTTAGAAAGAAAAATACACTTGTGAGAAGTGCAAAATGAGATTTTTGAAGTGCTAATAAAAGTTCCCATTTGTAAAACAAATGATGTGTCACCAATAGAAAATAAGCACATTAATCAATACTTAAGTAAATATCCACTTCATTTGGTTAAAAAAATTTGGTTTCCCTAGTATTACCAATATGAAAAAGAAGGGTAATGCTAAAAAGACTAATGATTATTTTTTGAGATTATTACTTGAGTGTTGAGTGTTGATTAACGTATTTATTTTTCATTAGTAACACATCATTTAGTTTAAAATTTTAAATTCTCTGATATTATCCTTAAAAAAAAAAAGGCATCATTGTCTTCCTTTCATTTGGTTCTTCCTTATGCATCTATGTTTTTGTGTTTGACAATTTTTATTATCATGATGAAATACCACCACATATATCATGATTGAAGTCGACACATTTGGTGGAACGAACTCCAAACGCGTACAACATGCATTTGGTGGGTAGTTTGGTTACTAAATAAAAAAAAAAAAAAAAAAAAAAAAAAAGAGACCAGCTGGTGACTTCATCACTGCAGTCTACCCTTTTGGGTATCGAAAGAGCTCATAGGCATTTTGGTCTCTCCCTGGCCAAACCCAAAACGTGCTATGTGAAATACAGACTTGAAATTCGTTTCTAATTACTAGGGCATCGTGTGGTGGTTAAATCTTCTCGTAACCTAACCCTATCCTAATCCCATTTTACAACACCGTTCTTACAAGTACCAAATATTTTGGCCCCCACAAACATCAAGTTATATTGCATCCCTAAAAAGATTTCAGGATCCAACTCGGTCAATCTTCAAAAGGTACAATCAAAATCTGATAACAACTCTACATAGACGTGTCATGTAATAGCTAAAAGAATAAGAGACATAAAAACAGAGAACGTACCACCACACCCTCTTCCAAAAGAAAAAAAGAATCAAGCGAAAGCTACCATAATCTATTTCCGAAGACACCTGAAAAATTGTGTAGGAACTTCCAACATCTCAACTGACCTGGGCTCCGTAAATCAGTTTTCACCGCAGTTCATAATCTTGGTAAGGACAATGTCCAGCCTTTATAAATCCAGGTGTCTGTTGGTGCTTCATCTGATTTTAAAGCTATATTTCCTTATTTCATAGAGTGAACAAACCACCCATTAAAGTCAGGAATCTTGGACAAACTGTATATGAAGCCCTGGCGAAACTCAGCATAAATTGTCATTCCATTTGTCCTCCCTCTAGTCTACACAGCAAAACCACTAGCAGTTGAGAAACGTCCACCACCTGAACAACTTCTGCTGCTTCGGCCATTTTATATCTGGACTTGACCAGAACGGGGCAACTTCTGCTACTTCTTCCTTGCCCATGATGGAATGGGATGGTGTCATCCTAGGAGATACGATCTAGTACAATTCTGGTCTTCTTAAGCAAATTTCCTCAGAAGGTGAGCCGTTTTCTTCTTCATGCTTCAATAATTCTCCATTCCCATTACAAAGTCGCGCAGATAATGAAGGCGACACAGGCATATAACTACCTGCGTTTAAGAGAGTAAAGTGGTTAGGAAATATATGGTACTAGATAACAGAAAAAATAAAAATAAATAGCAGATTGGTCTCATACCTCGAAAAGACGAGCTTCTATCAAACTCTCTCGTCGAATGCAATACGATGGTTCCACATAATACAACAATAAATCCACATATTTCTGATATGATGGCTGCCCCACTTTGGTCATCCCAATCCTAAGATCATAAATTGTAGCATGTAATTACAGTCATCAACTAAATCTGCAATTAGTAACCGGTTGTTTTGGAAGAACAAATAGTATTCTGCTAGACTGTTTCTTTTTTATTCAGTGTAGATATGAGTCACAGTTCAGCAGTAAAAACTGAGTATCTAAATTAGAATTCTGATATAAATTGTATAGAAATATCCCTGCCATAAAAGTCAGGGCCCTAGAATTAAGATCAGGAGTACCGGATGCCTAAGTTTTATAAATTCTAATAGGGTATTTTGAAGTATAGACAGTAGCGCACTGCTGTTGTACTCTTTAGCAGGTTTTCTATTAAGTCCCTTGCCGATCCCAATCCATTCATAAAACAACATTTTTTTTTCACGTCAACTAACATAATGAACTTGTCTTGGGTTCACAAAAAGCATGGGTTTTTTAATTGGGGTGGCAGTCTTTGCTTGACTCCGGTTGAAATATTACTACTCCACTCAAGGCTGAGCTTGAGCTGCTTTTCAGAGTATACTTTGAAGTCACATTCCCGATTCATGCCTTCTGTTAAACATCAATCATATTAACAACAATGCAACTTGGAACTGATGCTATAGACTTGGCAAAGAGGCATAACACCATCACTTAACAATACCTTAAACATTATGACACTGGCAATGATTGCCAGCGTGGTAAACATGACGTAATAAATAGGGGACACAACCGCAGTGTTGAATGTGTCAAGTGCCTGAAAATTCAGAGTTGAGTTGTTAAGTATAAAATACAAAGACAAAGCTGCCTGTAATTCTTCTAAATAGAAGACTCCCATAAATCAGACAACGATTGCCCATATCTAACATATTCACAATGTAATAGAATTTCTAACCTTATTCAGATAATTCATTTGGGTGATGACACATGTAGCTACAACCAACATAAAAAACCACGTCTCTGGATAGATTAACTGATTCTTCCCCTCAAAAGTTAACTTCAGAGCAGTTCCTAGGGCTTTAACACTCATCACCTGCAAAATCATGAAAAGTAATAAATATATATGACATGAGATGCAGTATATAATGAAAACTGAAAGGAAATAATTGCATTACAAGAATTCAATAAAAGCAGACTCGGGTGCAGAGGGACTCAAGAATGAAGTGCTAACAGACATTCATCTTCATCAAACCAAGGAATCAGATTGACCAATATCATTATGTATCAATAACCAACCCAGGCTCCACCTGTATGGTTTTTTATATAAACATCTGTTCCCTTTAGGATGAATACGAGCATGAAGATATTACATATTAATATTAAAACAATTTAAACGCATGCCACGTGTGAACTTTGCGCCTACATTTTAAAATTTTAAACGCTTACATCCCTATCAACCATGGTTGTTTAAGTACAGTAAGACAGGAATAAGAGGAGCTCAGTGCAAAAATTAGTTTCTTTTCTCCTTTTTGGTGTAGAACACCACAGTTTGATATGAGAGGCACTCAATACAGTAAGGCAGAAAAGAACTATGACTATCAGTAATTCAAACATTTTACCGAGAGAGAACCCATCAATGAACAAATGCCCGTGAAAACTAGCACATTCGTGTGCCCACATTGTGGCACAAAATGGAAGACCAGTATGAAAACCAGAACAATCACTGAACCCACATAAAGCAAGAAAGCTGAAATAGAAAGTATACATTGTTAATTTTCATTGAACGATCATATAATTCAAAAGAACAAAGAGATATAGAAATTAAAATAAAGTGAATGAGCCTATATCAAACCTGGTTGAGTTGCCATGCTCCATATTTCAAGAACTGAAGTGATAGAATGTTCCTGTGGTGCATGGATAACAATTATGACTGACCCGGAAATGCACATTACGCAGCCCAAAACTCCAAGGCGGTGCAGCCTCTCCTTCAAGATAAAATGCGCAAGCACAGCACTACATCATCCCATTCAAAAAATTTAAAACATTATTAGTAATTCTTAACATCACCATAGCCATAGGACATGATAAAAGTATATAGGAGTAACCAAGCACGGACAAAACAAATATATAAACAGTTACCTGACAATTATACTTAACGCACCGAGAGGGGTAACAAGAACAGCTGGAGCAAATGCATATGCAACGAAGTTTGCAATCTCTCCAACGATCACTATATCAAAAATCAAAAATCAAGACAGATTCTGTTAGCCATCAGTGGAATTTAAATGAACAAAATGAATCTCAAAGCGCTGACATAGTGACATTGGATACCATCAATAGCTAAAATCAAACAGAAACGAAACTTCCACGGTGAAGGAGAATTATTGCCATTGAAAAGCACTTGATCTCAATTGCAAAATGAAACATGAATGATGATAACAGACCAAACAATCATAATTTAGAATCCATGTCAACGATAAGACCAATGACTATAAAGTTTCATACGACAACAATTTGCAAAGAATACGTTGGCTTCTGAAAGATCAAAACATACAACAAAAAATGAAAAAACAGACATGAAAACTTACTGGTAATAAATCCCACCCACCAAAGAGGCTCCAAGAGGTAAGAATACCCGCCATACCCTACAAAAATCAAGAATCAATGAACACCCATTTCAGAGAATCAAAATCCGTGAAAGGAAAACCGAAATTTGAACGAAAAATAGAAATAAATAAATAAATAAATCACCAGCTCTGACTCCAGAAGCAGCTGCGGCTTTTCTGAGGCCTTTCTTCTTGATGATAAAGCTTGCCCCGATGAAGCCACTTGAAAGCAAAGCCAGAAGAACGCCTTTAAGATTGTCTTTGGAGAAACCCATGTCGAATCTTTGTCTCTTTTTCTGAAAATCTCCTTAATTTCCTCATGGGATCATACAACCGGTCAAACGCTCTGGGAAATCATCCTCGTTGGCCGACCGTTGTGAATATGCTCGTTTTTCCCGTTTGGGGGATGTGGGGACGGACAGCTACGGTGCTAATCAAAATAGATTTTCAGTGTGATCATAGGATAGGAGGGGTGATACATTATATGTCATTATATAAATAATGGGATATAAATGTAACATCCCATATCGCTCAGGGGAGTGGATTCTGTAAGCCTTATATGTATATTCTTATCTCTACCTAGCACGAGGTTTTTTGGGAGCTCATTGGCTTTGGGTTCCATCGAAACTTCGAAGTTAAGCGAGTTCGCACGAGAACAATTCCATGATGGGTGACCCACTGAGAAGTTCTCGTCTGAGTTCCCAAAAACAAAACCGTGAGGGTGTGTCGAGGCCAAGAGCGGACAATATCGTGCTACGGTGGAGTCGAGCTCGGGATGTGGTGGGGCCTGGGCCGAGAGGTGATAATTTGGTATCAAAGCCAATCCCTAGCTTGAAGTGTGTCAAGGACGTCGGGCCCCTAAGGGGGGTGGATTGTAACATCCCACATAGTCCAGAGGAGTGAATCTTGTAAGCCTTATATGTATATTCCTATCTCTACATAGCACAAGGCCTTTTGGGAGTTCACTGGTTTTGGGTTCCATCGGAACTCCGATATTAAGCGAGTTCTTGCGAGAACAATCTCATGATGGGTGATCCACTAGAAAGTTCTCGTGTGAGTTCCCAGAAACAAAATCGTGAGGACGTGGTCGAGACCCAAAGCAGACAATATCATGCTACGGTGGAGTCGAGCTCGGGATGTGGTGGGGGCCTGGGTTGGGATGTGACAATATGTATGTTAAAAAGTTAATAACTTAAAAAATAAAAATTTTCACCACTTGCATAAAAACACGTGGTGTACAATTGTGAGTTGTCGGTATTGCGGGCTGCAGATTGTAATATTGATATCTTATTTGTTGGATTCATTAAGCAATTGGATAAGTAGGTCTGTTTACATTAGTATATTTATTTATTTATTTATTGTTTGGACTTAATCCAAAGATACTACACGCTTATTCTCGGAGTACGTGACGCTACAAATGCATAGGTGAAAAACTTTATATTTTCAATCTTAGTTCCAGTACAATTATTTTAACTTTACATTTTTATATAGGTATTTTTAACGTTATGTCATTATATATCTATTTTTGACTTTATATTTTTATAAAGGTTTTATATTTTAGTTTTGTACTAAAGGAGAAGGAAAGTATGAGTTTGGAGGCCTTTTGAGAGCTCACTAGCTTTGGGTTCCATCGGAACTTCGAAGTTAAGCGAGTTCGCGCGAGAGCAATCCCGTGATGGGTGACTCATTGAGAAGTTCTCGTGTGAGTTCTTAGAAACAAAACCGTAAGGGCGTGGTCGGGGCCCAAAGCGGACAATATCGTGCTATGGTGTGAGTTCCCAGAAACAAAACCGTGAGGGCATGGTCAGGCCCAAAGCGGACAATATCGTGCTACGGTGGAGTCGAGTCCGGGATGTGGTGGGGGCCCAGGCCGGGAGGTGACAATTTGGTATCAGAGCCAATCCCTAGCCTGAAGTGTGCTGAGGACGTCAGGCCCCTAAGGGGGGTGGATTGTTACAATCTACATCGCCCAGGGGAGTGGATCTTGTAAGCCTTATATGTATATTCCTATCTCTACATAGCACGAGACCTTTTGGGAACTCACTGGTTTTGGGTTCCATCGGAACTCCGAAGTTAAACGAGTTCTCGCGAAAACAATCCCATGATGTGTGATCCACTGGAAAGTTCTCATGTGAGTTCCTAGAAACAAAATCGTGAGGGCGTGGTCGGGATCTAAAGCTGATAATATCGTGCTACGGTGGAGTCGAGCTCGGGATGTGGTGGGGGCCCGGGCCGGGATGTGACTATGTATGTTAAAAAGTTAATAACTTAAAAAATAAAATTTTCCAACACTTACATAAAAATACGTGATGTACAATTTTTAAATTTAAATTCACATAAGAATGCAAATAAATGAGAAATTATACTCTTTTTTTAACAAACGATATTATCTACACTAAGAAGGTGGGGGAGTGGGCTAAGCCTTATAATGGAGAAACCCATGTCGAATCTTTGTCTCTTTTTCTGAAAATCTCCTTAATTTCCTCATGGGATCATACAACCAGTCAAATGCTCTGGGAAATCATCCTCGTTGACCGACCTTTGTGAATATGCTCGTTTTTCCTATTTGGGGGATGTGGGGACGGACAACTACGGTGCTAAGCAAGATAGATTTTCAGTGTGACCATTATATATGAGGTGATACATTTTATGGTATTATATAAATGGTGGGATATGTGTAACATTTCACATTGTTCAGCGGAGTGGATCATGTAAGCCTTATACGTATATTCTTATCTCTACCTAGCACGAGGCATTTTGGGAGCTCATTGGCTTTGGGTTCCATCGAAACTTCGAAGTTAAGCAAGTTTGCGTGAGAGCAATCCCGTGATGGGTGACTCACTGAGAAGTTCTCGTGTGAGTTCTCAGAAACAAAACCGTGAGGGCGTGGTCGGGGCCCAAAACGGACAATATCGTGCTACGGTGGAGTCGAGTCCGGGATGTGGTGGGGGCCCGGGCCGAGAGGTGAAAATTTGATATCAGAGCCAATTCCTAGTCTGAAGTGTGCCGAGGACGTTGGGCCCCTAAGGGGGGTGGATTATAACATCCCACATCGCCCATAGGAGTGGATCTTGTAAGCCTTATATGTATATTCATATCTCTACATAGCACGAGGCATTTTGGGAGCTCACTGGTTTTTGGTTCCATCGGAACTCCGAAGTTAAGCGAGTTCTCGCGAGAACAATCCCATGATGGGTGATCCACTGGAAAGTTCTCATGTGAGTTCCCAGAAAAAAAATTTGAGGGCGTGGTTGGGACCCAAAGCAAACAATATCGTGCTACGGTGGAGTCGAGCTCAGGATGTGGTAGGGGCCCGGGCAGGGATGTGACAATATGTATGTTAAAAAGTTAATAACTTCAAAAATAATTTTTTTTCACTATTTACATAAAAACACGTGATGTACAATTTTTAAATTTAAATTCACATAAAAATGCAAATAAATGAAAAATAAAAATGCAAATAAATGAGAAATTATACTCTTTTTTTAACAAACGATATTATCTACACTAAGAAGGTGGGGAAGTGGGCTAAGCCTTATAATAGACATACCATAATAATGTGGTTCAACTTTGCATTTGACGAGAATTGAACATAGGTCCTCTTACTTAGAGAGATACCACTAGACCGTAATAATAAGTGATAATGAGAAATTATACTTATAAGAGCTAAAACAAGAATTTGTCATATATATAACCAATATTCAGCCTCTAATTTCATAAATGTCATTTTTTTATAAAAACTATCAATTATAACATAAAACATGCTTAAAAAAATCAAATTGCACTACAAATTAAAATCAAATTACACAACACTTAAAATCGTTGGAATTCATTTTTATTCAAACTCACAACAAGATTGCTTAGTTGTCGAACCACCCACCGCCACAACCTTTTCCCCTTCTGGCCTTTGCTTATCCTTCTCCTTCATATTGTTTTTAAATGTTCAATTAAAATAATTAAAATAATAATTAATTTTTTTTCTTATACTTTCGGTATGCCTTGGAAACTTAACAAATCAAAAGGAAATATATTGGCAAAGTTGAAGAGGGTCTAGCTAATTGGGAGCGACGACGGCATGTTGCCATATGTTCGCCGATCATCAAGAGCTCTTCCTTTTGTCAAAAGCCCATCACAATTGCATTTAAACAAACAAATTCCAGTTTTTATTGCAAAACCAAAATCATAAGTAAAACAAAATATTTATGATTGATTGGGAGGTGGGGATTAGTGTGACAGCCCGTCCCTAATTTTAAGAATTTTTAAAGTTTTAATAAAGGATTTTACAAAAGTGCCCTTTGAGGTACGTGCATTATTCGAGGTTAATCATCATGTTGTGCCATCTAAGATTTGTTTTCTTGACATATCCTCGAAGTACTCATAGCTACGGACGCGTGGGCGTAGACGGTTCGTTATTTGGAGTTATAACGAAAAAGATTTTAAAGTTTGAAGTTTGGGCATTTTATAAATTTTATTATTAAAATTTGGATGGCCCAGATTTAATGAAGATTAAATGGATGGCTTGGATGTAAGGAAAAACAAAAATAAATAAATTTAAGTGAAATAAGGTTTTTGGTGTGTGTGTGTGCGCGTAAGAAGAAGAAGAAGAAGAAGATTGAGGATTGGGCAGAAACTGCCCAACCAGAAGAAGAGAGAGCCGGAGCTCCGGGAGAGAAAGGAGGGAGTCCAGCGAATCAGGAGAAGAAAGAGGGAGAAGCTGACCAACTAGAGGAAGGAAAGGAGGGAAAGGAGGGAGAGTGGTGAACGGGGGAAAAGGAGGAAACGGGTCATCCTTGACCCGTGCGACCCGTGCCTTCAAATCGGCGGGTTCTCGCCGTTCTCGTTCAATTTTCCGACGAATTGGATCAAGGTACCACTCCCAATTAACACCTAGGCCTTCCCTCTTCACGTTTCACCCCAAAAATCAATGAATTTCGTGGTGATTTCGCGAAGAACACCCACACGGGTGCCGCGACTTTCTTGTCTAAATTCTTCAAATCTTGAAATGTTTTCTTTCAATTACTAACACCATTAGCATTCCTTCAGGACCTAGAACAAAGCCCAAGAAGTAGTAGAGGCATTGGAACAAGTTTGGAGGTCGAATTGAAGCTCACCCAATTCTAGGGTCCACACGGAATTTGATGAATTTGAAGTGTTTCCAGGCCAAATTGGCCTTGGCCACAGGTATGAAAGTTTCTCTACTCATTGAGATCTTTAATTATGTATTTTTTGAGAATTTTTGGAAATAGTTGGATTTTCCGGCGAACCGGGGCGGCCGACCGCCACCCGCGGCGGCCCGTGCGGCGGCGCGTGGCCAATGGCCCGCCAATGTTATTCTTAGCATGTGTTTAAGGTTCTAAGTTCAGTTTTAATAATTGATGGACGTAAATTGAGTAATTGAACCTAAGTTCGTTTCGATTCGTGGTTAGGTGAAAATGT